GAAGAGATGATTTTATTTTCACACGCACACACGCTTCTCCACCTGACTGTAGGGGGTTGTATACAACTATGAGGTTTGTGTTTTAGGTAGCCCTAAACTAAAATTTGACTTTCAATAGGAAAATGTGGATCGACATTTCCAGTTTTTAATGGTGTGCTTCTGGGCATCCTGCTGAAATCTGACTAGAGACTGGGCTTTCCTTTTTACTAGAGGAAAGATGATGCATTCACAGCAGTAAATTCAGCATTTCTGCCTCTATGGTTAATTAACCATAACATAGAAGTAGCACAGCAAGCAGTGAGAATGTTTATAGGCAAGGAAGGGATTAAGAAAGGAAGGAAGATTAAAAAAAAAAAAATGGGGGGACTAAAGTCTTAGCACAATCCAGAGCAAAAGGAGGAACAACCATGAGCTTTCAAATATCAAAGCCATGTAAACATCAGTTGGAGGTAGAAATCACTTTAATGTAGAACAGGAGGATTTATAATCAGGTATTAACACATTTTATTGTTCTTTCATGCTGTAAGCTTCATCAAAGTACAAAATAAAGATGAATCTGTGTCCAGAAAGATTTTTACAATTTTTCTTGATGCTACAACTGAAAATTGATGTCATATGGGAAACCTTGTAAACAGGAGAAGGGAAAGCTTTTTGATTTGCCTACAGTACTTCTGCAATTTTCTCCTTGTTGTGGCACAGACGGACATGAACACTTTTAAAATTCCATGCTAAAACCATTGGGGTTTTACAGGTATGTATGATTTGAATGTCTCAAAATTAATTTATCTTCAGAAGCTTAAGCAAGATGGAGCTTGTGAGCAGAGGCCACATCTTTTATTAAACCAATTAATGCAGTTAGAAAATATATAGAAAACTTTTTCTTGCTACTTAGAGCATGGTTGAAATAAATCAATAATAGACTCTCCTTTTCTAATTTGTGTTTAATATTATTTTGAGATTATTTAGCCTTACCTCAGGAGATTAATTTGATAACTTACTTTAGCTGTTTCATTTTATCAGTGATTCCCCAGCTTCTGTACTGTTAATTAGTAGATAGCTTGACTATCTAAGGCAGCAATCAGTAAGCAAACTCTCCTTCAAAGACTCGGTATTTCAGGGGTTTCCTTTCTGACCAGTTTATGATATTAGGAAAAGCAAATTTTCTATGCCTGCATCTTTCTGTGTTCGCAGCGTATCCAAATCCTAATTACAGATCAATTAGTCTGGTTTTGAGCCTTTTAGATTTAGGATCGCAGGATTAATGAAAAGAAAATGAGTGGGTAGCACTATCATTTCATATGGAGATAAGGAGGGACTGAGCATGAATGGGGATCTCAAGACCTCTGAATAAAGAATTTCCTCATTCTGTCAGTGAAGTTTTATGGGACATGGAGGGAGGATTATGGGAATATTCATTACCAGATCAAGAGGCATAATGAGTTGATGTATGAACTAGCTTATCTTTTAGGTAAACACGGGGTAACTGGGAAGTAGAATAGCCATTCATTGCCCCCAGGCCTCTGAATTTTACTGTTCTAAAGATGGAAACAAGGGTTTAGTTGTGGTTATTAATTGATTTCATTTGATTTTTTTTGATCACTGTTTACCAGGTGCTGGAAGAATTCTGTATTTTTAACTTCAAGTCTGCGTTAAAACTACCAAAGATGACATCTTCTTTCTAGCATCCAACAATAGTATATATTTAAACTTCTGCAGTACTGTATAATAAGAGTGTAGTGCTATAACAGCCTTCTCATACTGGAGCGTTGTGTAACTGGGCTGCGGTGGTTCAACCTGTTACAAGAGTAATTTGCTAGTAGACTGGGTGCTTCTGATCTGGGACTTGCTTGTACATGGACAAACACAGTATCGCAAAATCTAGAAAGAGCAACAGGTCACCCTTGTCTGTTCCTCAATTTACTTGTATACTAAGTATTCTTACCCGAAACCCAGATTATGTTCCAGATTTGGTATGCTTATAAACCTTCCTGAAAACAAAATATGCTGTAATTTACAAGCGTACGTCACTAATATTATGATGTAAGTGTCAATCAAAACCTTGCAAATGTGGGTACGCAGCTTGTGTGTTTCACAGAGGAAACTTCCCCAAAGAAAGATGGGTAAAGTCTGACTTGAATTGTAACAATTAACTGTTGTGCCAAATGCAGTGTCACGTGGTGCTGATGAAGCTATGAGCACTTACCCCAGAATTGCAGACCCTGCACTTGCACTCGTTAGAAGAGTTCTGCCTGAGCATTTATATTTACAGGTTTATCAAGATTAGTGTTGTGTAAATGCATAACTGCCATTAGCCTATTTAAAAAGTAAACCCATTTAGGAGGCTGCTGCTCTGTGCTACAGAAGGGACTTGGGTGAAATGGTACGGGTTGGCTGGGGTCTGCTGCTGCAAAAGGCTTTACTACTGCAAAGAATATAGGGCAGAGAATGAATAATTGCAGCTATTTGGCAGTCATTGTAACTGTTCTTTTTTAAGAATAGCCAGCATGTTTTTTCAAAGTATTAAATTACCTCAAGACCTCATAATTATTACAGTTAAGCAATCATTTCAATTCAGTCCAAGTATAAAAACTAATAAAGTGCACATAATATGGAGGCAATTTTAGTATGTCTGTTCTCTGAGCAAACACAGCTGATTCAGTATATTCTGTTGGAATACATATTTGCTCTCCTGTTATTTTAATATGCCCTAATCAGAAAATTAAAATAGATTTTGTTGGCACAAACCTTTTTTTAAGGGTGAAATAATAGTTATAGATTTTTGCTGATGCTATTAATTTTCAGGACTGGAATATTTCATTAGCAAGAGGTTGAGAAGGGAAAATATTTGCATTTAATACTGCTAAATCTGGCTGCTTTCACTGAATCTAATGGCTTGATCAATATAAAGAACATACTTGGGGAAAGCATGTAGCAGTTAAAAAAGAAAAATCCTCATCAGAAATAAACCTATTGAAAGAGATCATCTAGTCTCCAGTTATCACTGGCAACTGGTGCTCATTTTGGAGAGTCAGGTCCAGGATCGATAACTTCCAAAAATATGTCAACTCTATCCAAGATAATAGGACATTATTTCAAAGGTTAATTTTGTAAACATACACAGAGCATCAGTATTGAAAGCCGAGCTAAGTAGTTCCCTAAATAAATGCCATAGAATTAATGTTTTCATTATAGAAGAGGTTTATGTACTGAGAAGCAAGCAATGTTGGTTTTTTTTTCTTTAAAAAAAAAAAGACTATAAGATACTTTGAATGTGCTTAGTAAGGAGAAGTGGTCATGGGACTATTTTTTTTTTTTTCATTGGTGGCTTTCAAAGATTCTCTATGCTGAGGATTTCTTTTAATTTCTTTTATTATTTATTTTCCTGGTAAAAATCAGCTACTGCTGTTTCTTAACTTTCAAGATACAGCTTTTTTTCCTTACACTGACTGTAAGTTTCATTTAATATCAAAGTATTTAAAAAAAAAAATCAGCTGAAATTCAGGACGGTTCTTTGGTGCTTGAGGACCCAGAGTGCGATTCCAGCTCACTGCGTTTGTAGATAAGCACCACTGGGGAAGAGGACAGTGAAGTGTTGAAAGTATAAGTGGCCTCCTCTTTGTAACCTGAGAATTGTATGATAAAGATATGAGTTTGAGATTTCTTCATCCTCATGCAGGCTACTTTCCATTTGTTATTTCAAATGCTAACTAAAATTCTGTACTCCTGTTACGACAGCACTACAGAGTTCTGTTGAGTTTTTGTTATTACTGCTCCAAAATGAATTTCCTAACTATCTGGGGATTGTCACCTTGTTACTAGATGAAACTTTTAGCTCTCATAGCTACCTTCTTAGAGCATTCTCTTTGGAGGATTTTGGGGTTTTTTCCACTTATGTATCCCATTTAATGCTGATTGTTTTATTTTCTTTTTTGTTGTTATTTCAGCTCAACAAAGCAAGTTTATAACATGTGGTTGCTACATGTTATAATTATTTTTTTTAAAAAAAAGCTCAAACCTCTATCTCATACAAGGGCATATACAGCTTTAATCCAATAGTATTTTTAGCATGGAAAAAAAATTTGTGTTTATGCCCATCTAACTTATTTTTGTCTGTCCTACTGCTCTTCCCCTGTTCCTTCCTATTTCTGAAGTGTGTGTTTTCCATGGCTATAATCACACACAGAAGGAGCTTCAAATGAGGATGTGGTGAGAGAAAAGCAGGAAATTTCACAGGCTTTGGATTCCAGCTATGTTCTAAATCTTGCTTCATAAGCAATTTAATAAATCAAATAGGTTATATGATGACAAGTGTTGTATGGAGTTGAGAAAAGAGTGGAAAAATGCCTAAACCCCTGAATTTTTCCCAATGTTGCCTTTTCATTCTTAGTAACTATTTGTAGTTGTGTACAAGTTGCGTTTTTGTAGAGAAAGAAAGTCCCAGCTTTAGTATTTTTATAAAATAAGATTCTGCCCCCACCCATCTGGTACCTACTGAAACGCAAGGAATTAAAGTGCAAGTTTTAAACATTCTTAATGTTGTGTCTGCCCTTTTGAATAGGTGTCTTGAGTGTTGACGTTTGGTTCCCTGAAATTCTCATGGCTGAAAGGGCAGTAGCTTTCAACTCTTTTTAGAATGATTAGTGGTGTTTGTGACACTTCCTGTGGAGAATAAAGATATTTGGTTAAATGTTATACGTAACAGGTGTACAGTAGTTCTGCTGTGCACCATCTAATGGAAACTTCAGGTTTTTGAAATGCAACATTTCTAGTATTGGATTGCTTTGGTAAATTTTTGAATTACTAAATCAGCGTGATAATCATAAAATATGTTTGTAGAAGTTCTTGACATGTAGCAAAATGTTTGAAATCTTAAGGGTAATATTGATGACAGTATCAGGTTTTGTTCATGTTTGGAGGTTTGGGTTGTGTTGGTTTTCTCTTTCTGGGCATATCCTCGATTTAGCAGTAGGTATTTGAATGGTGATCTTTAATTCTTCCAGAGAAAGTTCGGGAAATCCAGGAAAAACTTGAAGCCTTCATAGAAGCCCTCCATCAAGAAAAGTAGATTGTTCAAGCAGGTAATCATGTTTAGATCATAAAAAGATTGCTACAATTTTCTTATTGTCCAGTAAAAAATGCTTATCTGTCACTTTTGGATGCGCATGTTTACATCACTTACAAACTTTGTGAAAATTCCTTTTTGTTTTATTGCAGTGTCTGGCTGCTGCTGCTTCTTGCTTCGAAGCAGAACTATACTTTAGCTTTTATGCTACAAGCAGATACAAAATTTAGTAGAAATACAATTACTGGCTAGTTATGCAGATATTGTGAAACACTGTAGGCTATTTGATTACTCTCTGTTCATTCTTTTTAATAAATGTGTTACAAACCTCTGTGTTAAGAAAAAGAAAGCATAAATAGCTGGAATCAAAATTAATGGATCACTTTTTTTGTCTATAAAAGCATTTTGATTTTTTTTTTCCCTTGAAGGCACAATGTATTGTTAGCAAAAATATTTGCATGTGGGTAATTTCCAAATTTCTTTCTTAATTCTCAAAAACATAAGCCTAAGTGCTGTCATATATTTGCACATGTCTTAAAACAATCTCCTTTCTGTTCCAACAGCAACTTTACACAAGAATGCAGCCTTTTCCTGGATATCTTGCACAAAGAAGACTGAATAGAAATGGCTTTTTTGTCCCATTCTCTTTCCTATCTTTTGGGGAGCATCCTAAAATGATGGAGGGGAAAGAAAATAATGTCTCATGGGATTGAGAAGTTCAGTTCAAATCCACCTGCTCTTTTAATTTTTGAAGCTACATGCACATGACAGAAGGATCTGACTTGTGTGTCAATGAGATAGCTTGGGAGTTTGCTGAAGTTGTACATTTAAGTTTGGGGTTTTTTTCCTGAAAGGAAAAAAAAAAAGCTTTTATTTTTGGCACCTGTCTTGTATGGTAAAGCTGGATCAGATTCATAAAATGATTTTATCTGTTGTCATTTTCTTGCCTGCAGATGATCCTGGGAGTTTAACATAAAGTTTTAGTATTTGTATGTACATTAAAATGCCCTTCTAAGTAATGCAATTTGTATTTGTTATGCTCTGTGTTGGAAACATTCTCTGATCATTCTGGTACAGATTTAAAAGCATGGTATTGAGATCTTGAGAGGAAGTTGTGGATTTTGTTAAACTACTAAACTCTTGAGAGACATCATCCAAGCAATTCTTTTAGTGCTTTCAAGTGAAAGTACAGACTGGTATTCACTGACATCTTAAAAGGTTTGGCTCAGGAAATAATATCAACAACTGCTCCTTTTACCCATTCTTTCCTAGTATATGTTGTTACCCTTGAATCATAGCCGATTACATTTCATTTCTGGGATTGCACAGGCTCTGATTTCCTTGTTAAGTCCTCCCTTCACCATAGGTACAAAGTAACTTGATCAAGTGTGTGTGAAATGTAGAAAGATACTCCATACAATTCCAACTTCTCCAACCTCCTTAACTAAAAAAGGAAAAATACAATTAATCTCATTTTTTCTAATATCTACTCTTAAGACCAAAATCGCTTTTATAAGAATGTTATGCACAAGGTCCCACTTGATTTCTATCATTCAGTAAAATAGTAAGTAGTCATTCTTTTACTGCCTTTCAGTTTTGCTGTAGAAATGTCACTTCTGACAAATTTAAGCATGATTTAGCCTCTGTATCGTAGGTGCCTGGTGATTAATCACCACCATATTTTTCTGCCCACACTTTGCCACAAATGATCTGGATACACTTCTGAACACTATGTGGAAGAGGAAAGAGTTTGTTTTGCAGTTGTCTGATTGTGTATGTTTTAAAATTTACGTGGTTTATTTGTCCCATTTTGAAAAGGCTATTGATTTTGATGTGTGGCGATTAAAAGAGAGGAATCTGAATGTTTTCCAACAGATACTGTTTCTGTTTGCTTTCAGATGAAACAATACACACTTTGGTAAGATGTTCCCCCAATGTTCAGACATCAAATATTCAGTCAAGTGGACAAAAAGATAACGTAGAGCTATTCATAAAATGGTGTTGAAAGATTAAATATTGCAAGGTGATCTAAATGAATGTTTTGGGATTTTCTGTTTAAAATTACTTCCTGAAAATGAATGTTTGAGAAAGGAAAAATGAAAACATGACTTATGTCATCATCATTCTCTGAAGATAACTTCGGAAATGTAAGTTTGCACAATTCTGAAGGCAGAGTCCTAAAGTTGTATAGCAAGTGAAGCAAATCTGTACTTGTGTTAAATCCTTCTTTGTAAAAAAAAAAAAAAAAAAAAGACAAAAATACCCCACAAGTTTTGCATTTGCCTAGAGATCACTGTTTGAAACTTCTGTGTAATGTAAATGTTGCAAAATGTTGCATCCAGTGGCCCAGTGTTCACCTCTCTTAGCGTGATGTTCCTGGAGTTTTAGTTTCAACTTCTCTGTGCTGCTCATCTAAGACTTAGCATGATGTACTCCATGAAAACTAGGTATTTATTGAATAAAAATGTAACTGAAGGAATAATAAATATGGGTTTTGAACACAGTGCTATTGCACCTAATTCAGAAGTCACTTTGGCCTTCTCATTTCTTAAATTGTGAAAAAGTAACCTGTTAATGATGTTAAAATATCTGACTCAGGAGTGCTGTGTCAGCACCAAGATAGTGGTAACTGTACTGTTATCTTCTACTACGTAAATTAATGATTACCTTACCATTCATTTAATACATTTAGACAAAGGTGTCATGAAAAATCATTATGTTGAAAGGTTATCTTTCCGGAGGTTTAAATAATCAACTGATATTCAAAGTATAAAGGAAGGCTGGTTATGGAGCATTAGTTTCAGGTGCATTTAAAATAAACGTGTACTGGGACAATGGGTTTGAGAATTATAGAGCAGTCGGCTTACCAACCTATGAATTCAAGAATATATCTTTTTCTTTTTTTCATTCTTTTTCTTTTAGATGGAGACAAATTTTACAAAATCAATTGAAAAAAAACCCAAAAATCTATGGTATCAAAGGTGCTGCGTATTTACTCCACAAAGCTTAAATTGGCATGTTGGGATCAGTGAAGGATTATAACTCTACTTTAACTTGATTTCATGATTAAACTAAGCAAAAATGGTCTTGACAAATAAGCAACAGGTAATTTTATGCTGGTTTTTATAGGATTTTTTTTTAAGATTGGAGGAAATAAGAGTGCTTATCTCACTAGTAAGTTTAGTATCACTTAACAGCAATAGTGGGTATAAGTTCAAAATTGCTCCTTGTAAGGAGTATCTTACTAGATAATTTAGCTGTAGTTTTGTTAAGCAGCATAAGAAGGATGACTATTACAACAACTTTTAGATAGTAAACACAATTATTTGAACTGCCCCAAATATTTATGTGATACTCAAAAGTATCTTATTCCAAACTGTTTTGAACAAGTTCAGGATATTTTCCTGTGTTACATATACTACCTTCAGATTCTGCATAAAGCAATTTATTTTAAGGAGCAGACTAATTTGTAATTTCAGTGGGGTTTTGAGATTAGCAAATGCAAATATAATTATTCCATAAATAGATATTGCATTTACAAAGAATGTTCTTTACTGTTGTGTAGGTATGGTAAGATATTTCTGTTTCTCATTAAATGAGACATTATGAGACAAGGATTAAATATTAATGGCCATAGGTTTTTCCATTGCTTCTTCATGAAAAAGGTACAAATGGTACTTTCTTCAAATTCAAGAATTACTCCTTCTGTGTGATTGCTAGTAACCTCATCCAAAGTTATCAGACCATGAGAGAGGTGAAAAACTTGGAAATGTGTAAAAGTCAAAAGCAAGCATAGTTAAGTTAGAAGGTGAAAATGTAAAATGAAGTGTTTGAGCATACCTGTGTGTTTGTAATAATTTATTTCACCATCAAGGATATATTAATACATTTTTGACTGAGTATATTCAAACCAAAATTGAGTTATGATGTATTTCCAAAGCTAAAGTTTAGATAATTAAGTTTTTGTGTATCTTAAATGTAATTTAGTAATTCTTAACAACTGGATGAAAAGAAGATGCAAGAGACTTCATCACTTCAGTTGAGAAATGTTGAAATATGAGATCTTCATGTCTGACCCAGGGCCCTGTGAATCAGTTAGAACTCTTGTTCTTTGTAGATTTCGTTCCGTAGATGTCTGTGGGATATTTTGGTGTCAGTCAGGGTGTTGCCATTTGTGCTAAGTCTGTGGTGATACCTCTGTGTTTTTGCAGAGCTGCAGTGTGAGTTTTCTTTGACTGGAATGTGTTTCTAGGTCTTGAGGCGCTTTAGGAAATGTTCCAGTCGTTCTTTCTCACGCAGATGGGATGTACAGTGGTGAAGATTACTCACATATTGGGGGACCTCACAAGAACTTAACGTGTATGGCTATTTGAAAAAACAGCAGCTTATAAACTAGCTTCCCGTATTTTCCTTTTACTTTGATTTCCTCAGGACTAGGGAACTCCATTGACAGAAGTAGAAACCTGCCCGTTTCCAATGCCTGGAGGCAAAGTAGAGGTTTGACTACAGTTCCCATTACAAACTACCATGCCAGCCTGAGCTACTGTATTGCCAGTTGCTGCTGCTTTGTGTAATTGGCTTAAAGAGGGAATAAAAAAAATAAAAAAAAAACCAAACAAACAACTACTTTCATCTTGACATGAAGATTTCAAGCAAGCTTGCATCTTCCATCACCTCAGTGCTGTAGCACATCAGAAGGTGAAAAGGTGAAATTATCCAAGCTGTTGTTACATAAGAAATGCTAACAATCACAGGCATGGTTTTAGTTTTGACTGTGGAAGTGATTCGGGAAAGAGTTCTGAAAGCACTTCTGGAATGGCTTGTGAAACAATTCTAGGGTGACCCTCAGAAACTGTTCTAGAAACTTTTCTGAAATTGACTCTCAATAACTTTCTTGGGTTGATACCATCAGTTTGTGGGGAAATGTTTCCAGAAGTGGCTCTAGAAGTGATTGTGGCAATCAGACTGAGAGTTGAGTCTAGTAGCCATTGTAGCATTTCTCAAATTGACTCTCGGTGGGTTTCTAGGCATGGTTCCGGAGATGAATCCAGAAAAGTGCCTGCCATTGGCTGTGAGACTGATTCTGGAATTGTCTCTAGGTGCTGTTCTAGAGTCAATTCCAGAAGTATTACTAGCCATTTCTGCTGAAAAGCTGTTTTCTGTGTGTAGCTACAAATAATTGTGTGTTTGTGTTGCAGAACACTGATAGAAAGCTATTTGCTGCTGTTGGAAGTCTGTAGGGTCTGAGGGCTTCCAGAGCAGTGTGTCCTAACCTGTGTTGTGATTTCACATTCTGACTTTAAAATTAATTTCTGACCTGTCCTTGGTAGTGACAATCAACACGATGATCTTTGTTCAGTTTTTCACAGTGAACTTCTTGAAGGTTAGTCAGAGCGGTGCATTTATTAGCACCTTGGATTGTACCATTCCTAATATAGGGTAAGATGTGAAGTTTTAATGAAAAGGGAATTTTATAATAAGTTTTATAACAGAAATAGCTTAAGCATTGTATTTGCATCAACATTTTAGGGAATTTTTTTCAGGAAAATAGTTGGGTATCACTGGACAAGACTGACAGCTGCCCCTCCTTAGAACTGTATAGGACAAGCACGTTCTGTTTGTGCTCTATTACTGCCATAAACTCTGCTCTTGACTGAATCTGCACATTCATAAAGGAGAATATCTTCCAAACTTCTGGAATACAGTAGATTGCACAACAAAAGCCTCTGTAAATCTAGAAATTACTTCACCACAGAAATAATACCCAATCATCTTCACTTCTATTTCAAGCAGCTGTTCTGTCTTTGCTGGCATCATGAAATAAGCATTCAGGTAACAGTATGCACCCTATATTTAAGAACATTTGAAGCAGTATTTTGCCTCATCTCCACAAGCCAATTGCCTATGGCTTTTGATGTTTGGAGATGGAACATTCATTGCAACCTTCTTTACAATGAGTCTGTTCTGGTTCATGTGAAAATCAACATCCTTTTTTGTGTTGCTGCCTGACAGGATGCTACAATACTATTAGCATTTGCAAAGGGTTTGCTCCATCTAATAGTGCAGCCCCCAGATCACAGGCTGCTCAGTTTGTGATTCTCTATTATGTGAAAGACACAAAGAAGCTGAAGGCTGGCAAAGGCCTGTCAAATCTTGTAATGTAGCGAGCAACCCCAGAGCTTCATTCTGCTTTATATCATCCCTTGTTCCCCATCCCACCCCTTTCCTTGAATGGGCTCTGAGGTAGGTAAATGAATTCAGGGGTATGGTAGGCGGATGATTCCTTTCTGACCTCATTCCTGTACCATTTGTTTCCTGGCTTGTTGGAGGGAAAGGGACATATCTGAACCTTTTGTTTCAAATAATTTTCTAGCAGGTTGGGGAGTTAATGCAGACCTTGTCTGAACTCACCCGAGCGGAAAGTGTTCGGGGTACAAGTCGTGACACGCTTGGTCCCTTGGAATTGCCAGATTAAAGGAGAAAGCAGTGAATTGGAATTCTTTCACATTTGGCATTGCTTAAACACCTGGACACCTTTTTTTTTCTTCCCCTTCCCCAGTGTGCATGTGTTTATATCCTCTCCCATGCCTTGAAACATCTGTCTTAAGAGCAGACAAGAAGCAAACAAAGAACAACCTTTGAACAGACCAGTGTTGCGTGATCTAGTTGGGCAGAAGTTGAGCTTGAGGCAAAAGCTGAGTACAGCATACACTAAGCAACAACAGATTGATTGCAAAAGGAGTATTTCAGAGCTCTCTGAAACTGGCAGAGCACTTAGGTTTGAAGAAAGACAGGGTGGTTTGTTCAGGGATTGATCTTGGATCATGTGCTTGATGGTAAGGAAAGCAATGGTTTCCCTCGTACCAGGACTGAATCTTAGGACTGATGAGACCTTTCCTATCAGAGCTGCCAGAGCTGTGCATCCTTGAAGGTACTTTTGTAGAAGGAAGAGTGGAAGAATGTGACCGGTAGCAAGATGTGTGGCAGGAATACCACCATAGCTATCCTGTGTACTCATAAGTACCAATGCCATAATGTTTGGAGGGTCATTCTTACCTTCTGAGTAATGGATTCCTAAGGTATTGAACATAACACCAAAATATTACTCCCTCCAAGCCTTACTGCAAACTTACTGCTATGTACAATTATCTGAAGTGTAACATTATTTTACTTCCAGTGTTCGTGGAGGAGTTCTGAAAAGAAATGTTCTGGGTAACTTGAACTGCCACAGCAGCATACATCTGTTGTGCATCTCCCATTTTCCTCCCAATCTCCATCTACTTAGCCCAGCAGAAATCTAGTGAGAGGCCTGTTTATCATTTGGGCTCATCACTTTGTGTTGCACATATGCTTTACAGAAGGCTTCCACAAGCCAGAGCAGCCACTGGGACAAATCTGCAAGGATATCAGGCCTCAGCATTGGTATGAAACACGTAGACACAAAAGGGATGAAAGAGGATGGTCATACCCCAGGTAAGGGTGTTGCCTTAAAAAATGTAGATATATTAATGGTTTTATATTGGTGG